CTACTCATTTAGCAAAAATCCTCGGCTGGGGCGGGGTGGCTCAGGCCTGTAATCCAGCACTTGGGGAAGGCCGAGGGCTGGTGGATCCACCTGAGGTTAGGAGTTGGAGAGCAGCCTGACCAACATGGTGGAAATCCCATCTCTACCTAAAAATACAAAAATTAGTTGGGCATAGTGGTGCCACACCTGTAATCCCAGCTACTCAGGACACTGAAGCAGGAGAATCACTTGAACCCAGGAAGCGGAGTTGCAGTGAGCCCAAGATCATGCCATTGCACTCCAGCCTGGGTGACAGAGGCATATTCCATCTTAAAAAAAAAAAAAAAGGCCGCGGGCGCGGGTGGCTCACGCTGTAATCCCAGCACTTTGGGAGGCCGAGGCGGGTAGATCACAAGGTCAGGGATCGAGGCGTGAAACCCCGTCTTACTAAAAATACAAAACATTGCGGGCGCGTGGCGGGGCGCCTGTAGTCCCATGCTACTCAGGAGGCTTGAGGCAGAGAATGGCGGTGAACCCAGGAGGCGGAGCTTGCAGTGAGGCCGAGATGGCGCCACTGCACTCCAGCCTGGGCGACAGAGCGAGACTCGCGTCTCAAAAAAAAAATTAAAAATAAAAATAAAAATAAATAAATAAAAAGAAGAAAGGTTTCTTCTCCTCCATGTGTCAGTGTAGTCTCATCATTTAGCTTCCCACTTGTAGTAGCAAGTTGCCATATTGGTTTTCTGTCCTGCATTTGGTTTGTAAGGGTAATGGCCTCAGCTCCATCCATGTCCCTGCAAAGGATATGATTCTTGGTTCTTTTTATTGGCTACATAGTATTCCATGGTGTATATGTACCACATTTTCTTAATCGCAGTTTATTACTGATGAACATTTAGGTTGATTCCATGTCTTCGCTATTGTGAATAGTGCTACAAGTGAACATACATGCTGCAATGGATTTTTTAAAAACGGGCGCGAGGGATGAGTTATACTCCTTTGGGTATACTACACTGCGGGCCTATGAGGAGGTGGAGGTGGGAAGAAGGAGGAGCATCAGAAAAAAATAACTAAGCGGTACTAGGCTTAATACATGGTGATTACAAAATCTGTATACAAACCCCCATGATGCATGTTTACCTAGGGCAACAAACGGCACATCCTGCCCATGTACCCCGAACTTAAAAGTTAAAAAAAAGAAAAATAACTATTTGCTTAATAAATTCTAAACTGAAGCCTAAGAAAAGGCTTCTATTGATAATGTTTTAGTACAGAATTTTTGTTATAAATATAATAATAACAAAGAAATCTATGTATCACATGATCAAAATGACCATGACGAACAATTCAGATCCTAAATAGGGCAAATATTAGTGGGGTAAGTTAGGGAAAGCGTGTTCTTTTAACTTACACCTTTCTATTAGAGTTGGGGAATGCGGGTCTCAGCGCTTACAGCCACGACTGGGCACATCAGCTTGGACACAGTTCCCACAGGCAGGCCAGAATTAGGAATGCAGGGTCTAGGCCCCCCTCGACAGACGGGGTGGGGCCAGAAACAACCCCAGAAGCTGGCCGCGGTGGCTCACGCCTGTAATCCCAGCGCCCACTTTGGTGGGCCGAAACTGGGGCCGGATCTGAGGTCGGGAGATCGACGACGATGCTCGGCCAACAGCTCGGTAAACCTGTCCTCCAGTCACTAAAAATACAAAAAATCTGGGAGTAGTGCGTGCCCTGCCCTGCTAATCCCAGCTACCTCAGGAGGCTGGAGGCAGAAAGAATCGCTTGAACCCAGGAGACAGAGGTTGCCTAATCATACAACAGCACTCCAGCCTGGCGATAGAGGACTCTCCAAACAAAAAAGCAAAGAGAAGGAAGGCAAGGAAGGAAGGAAGGGAGGGGAAGAAGGGAGAGGGAGGGCGCGAGGGAGGAAGGAAGGAGGACAGGACAGGAAGAAGGAAGGAAGAAACAGAAAGAAAGAGACAGAGAAAGACAAGAAAGAGAAGAACAGGAAGGAAGGAAGAAAGGAGAAAAAGAAAAGAAAAAGGAAAGAAAAGAAAAGAAGAGAGAGAAGAACAAGAGGAGCGAAGAAGAAAGAGAAAGAAAGAAAAAAAAAGGAGAAGAAACGAACAAAAAAGAGAAAAGGAGCAGAAAAAGAGAGAA